ATTTTTAATTCTAATTCTACTTAATCAAAATTAAATTAATTAGAGTATTATTTAATTTCAAATATAATTACAATTGTATCTCTTTAAAATCTTAAATAAAGAGTTATCTTCTCATAACTTATACACTATGAATATGTGATGCTCTCTCTTTCATATTTATTTATATTTATTATGTGTTTTTAAAATTCAAAGAATTCTTTTAAAAGCCCAAATGAAACCACGTATTTTAATTAAAATTTAAAGTTTTTGATGTTTTTCTACATATTTTTTATTACTTTTTCTGAATTTTCGAACGTTATTTTTATTTTGTTCTTATTACTTATAAACTTGTGATATTATTAGGGATTTATTTAGCAATTTTTCAACATCACTTGGAAGATTATAATAAAAATTTAAAAGATATTCCTCGTTGTAATAAAAATTTAAAAGATATTCCTCGTTGTAATAAAAATTATTAAATTATTTTCTTGCCAATGGACAGATAACAAGTGTCCACGCGTATAAAAACAATATCGTTAAAATGAAATAAAAATGAAACAAGATATTTCTTTAACACAGTTTGAATGAACCTGACCTTTCGTATGTGGGAACCATGCCCATAAATCAAATTTAATATAGAACGAATAATACAAGAAAGACAAACATCGAAATTACGCTTTTCTGCAAAGCAATACTTTTTTTTCAATGATGTATTTCTGATTGGAAATAAGAAAAAAATGAAGGTTGATGAAGTCTGTCGGTGGAGGAATCCGTATATATTATATGTATGTATGTGTGTACACACGTATGTATGTACGTTAGCATTCTATATCAAATTATCAATATATGATTGGCCTTGCGTGCAGGTCCCCCGCACCTATTACATATGTGTGCTGACGGGCAACAATTGAAATTGTTTAACTGTTAACTTTAAAATATTAGAATATGAATTAAGGAAATAAAATATTAGTTAAATTTTCTTATAATATTAGTTTAATTTATACATTAATTTGTGTTACTTAAACTCTTATATATTCAAAGATGGAACCTTTTATATAGTAGGAGAGGTTTGATTTCTCAATTTTTAATTTTTTTAATATTGAAGCATTTTTTTTAATCAATCATATACAGGCCCTTCCGGTGACACGCATAATTTAGAGAGAATTGGGACCCATAAAGTTGGCGTAGAGATATGTTATCTCTACAGCTCGGGATCTTTTATTTCCTCATTCTCAACCGTCAGATCAACCTCCTCGAATGCATATTAGCCGTGGTAGAGATATGCTTGCCGCCTCTACGATCGATGCTTATCAAGATTCCCTCCCCATGGCCACGAGTTTTTCACAATTTCAATGCCCTCTACTACGACCTAATGATTTGGAGTAGTTATTTTAATTTTCTCCCGGAATTTCAAAGTTTTCCCAGAAAGTTTATGGTTTTTAATAATTGTTCCTAATTCATCGTCCGTCGGCCAGTGTTTATAGAAATCAGTAAACTTGTGAAATTTAGAAGCGGCATGAATCAAAAGCAATTTCCTGATGGTTTCTTCCCGCCGTTCTGTGCTCTTTTCAATCATTTTTTTTTTGAAGGTTGAAAAGTCCAATCCCACTGCTGGATTTAGATTCGTACGAAATTTGATACCGACGCTTGTTGGTCCCCAAAAGTTTTTTGTGTAAATTGTAATTTGTACCCCAAAAGATGTGTACCCTCCGTCGTGATCAGTCGCCTCAAACCCCAAATACATCGAATCGTTTTTGGCTTCGTCTTTGGGAGCTTATCCGGAATAATTACTTTTGGTTTCGATTTTTTTGGAGCCCGTAGTGTTCTAAAATTGTAGAGTTTGTTTTTCGGAATCAAAGATAATGATCAGAATCTGCGTATGATATTAACGTGGTCTTTGTTGTTTAAAATATGAAATAACAGAATGTGATAACTGATTTTATAAAATAATAAACAATTTTGATCATTTCCGTGTGAAGAATGAATTCCAGATTTCAACCGATGAGAAAGGAAACTGGGAAATTTAGTGAATTAGCATTGAACCCCAAAGTGGAAACTCTTTGTGAAGTAGGGCAAGTTGCAACACTGAATGGAATTCATCACAAACATGAAAACACGAACAAAAGGAATGTAATTTCATGTAATGATAGAAATTATTCAAAGGTATCATAAATTTAGAAGAATTTTCCAAAAAGGAAACTGAAACCGGTGGTGAAACAATTTGTGTTTAATTGAATTATATTTCAAATTATTTTTTTATTATCCTGAGATAGATACAAGGTAATATCTATTTCAAAATAACTCTCAATCATTTTATATTAAACGTTCACACTTCTAGTATTTTTAAATATTCTAACTGAAACCCCAAAAAATAATAAGAATTTCTTTATCAATAAAGTTAGTTCGGTTCGAGTTATATCCCAAATTAAAACAAGCAAAGATTATCTACTTTTGGTTAGTGTAGAAATAGAGTTACCCTATCCATTAACATATATTTTACCATTTAGAACTGGGTAAAGTTAAAAATGCATGGGTCAATGTCAAACTTGTGCTTTTCATTTTCATCCCAATAAATATGGGAAGGTCTCACCTGCTATAGCTTAATATATAACTAAAGAAAAATGTTCCCGAAAATATTATTAATTTTTAATAATTTTGGTAAAAAAAAACTACCTAAACATTATTATTAATACTGGAAATGTTATTAATGGATGTTTTACCGGGTTTATTAACATATTCGATAAAACACTATCTAAAATATTATTTTTCTATCGGAAATATTAATATTGGACACTTTATCGGAAATGTTAAAAAACATTAATGTTTTAGGTAATTTTTACCGAAAATGTTAAAAAATAATAACATTTCCAGTAACATCTTTTCTTAACCGTATATTAAGACTACCGTACGTCAAAACTTCCCTAGTAAAAATATCAGACAAAACTATTAACTTATCTAGATTTTTTTTATATACCGTTTCGGGTTCAAATTTATTTGTTGATTTTAAAATGTATAATATCCCGTAATTGTAACCCTTTCTCCTATCTTCAACAACAGGTCCTTTTATAATAAAATAAAGGTTTTTCCTAAATAGATGTCCAAGTTATTTTTGTCTCATTCAAATGTCTAATATTATAAATATTACTCATTTAGGTTTTCGAGCCGTCAACGGTATTAATTTCTTCCGTTAAGTGACACATGTCAAAATCTGGTAATTTTAAATATTATTTTTTAAATAAAATATTAAAAGTACTATGATATTTATAAAAAATACTAACTTTTCTAATATTATAAAATAACCCCAAAACCCCAAACCTCAAACCCAAACCTTAAATTGTCACCGTCTGTCATTCTGGCCACGACCACCGCCACCGACGTAGTTCTTTACCACCCCCACTGATGTAGTCCTTTACCACCACTACTGATGTAGTCCTTACCATCCTCTTACTCATACACCGTCGTAGTTTCCGTCGATTGGTCGTTGGAATCGTGTGAGATCACGATTTTAATCCTAAGGTTCGGACGGTTTAAAACGTTGATTCATCGTCGATAGGTCGTTGATAGGTCACGAGTTCATGGGGCTTTTGGTTGGCGGGGGGAGGGGAGGTTGGGTGAACCTTCGTCGACGATAAAAAGGTGGCGGCCAACATGAGTTTAGGGGTTGAAATGAAGGTTTTCAAAGTTTTGAGTTTATTTGAAAATTTGTGTTTTTTAAAAAATAAATAATTAATTTTAAATTTTAAATAAAAAATTTAAAATTACCAGGTTGTGAAACATGTCATTTAACGGGGAAATTAACATCGTTACTGGCCCAAGCACCTAAATAATTAACGTTTGTAACGTTAGACATCTCGATGAGACGAAAATTAGTTTAGACACTTATTTGGAAAAAAAAAACGTTATAGTTTGGGCACTTATTTTAGTATTAAACCTAAAATAAAAGATAAATTACGTATTTAATTATTTATCTATTTTTATTTTTCATTTTAATCATTTAATTATAATTTTTTAAAAATTATATTAATGTTCTATTTTTGTTATATTTTGATCATCCGCCGTTGAAAATAAATAAAATTATTAAAATGATATTTTAAAAAAATATTAAAGTGTGTATTACTTTATAATAATAAAGCTAATATCACCTTTATTTTTTTAATAATAAATAATTAAAATATAATTTTATCTATAACTTAAAAAGAATAACTAAATAATTAAAACAAAACTATAAAAATTGATAAATGAATAGATAAATAATTTATCGGGAAATAAAAATGAAAGAGCAAAACTATAGTACTTAGGGGGTGTTTGGTTCAAGGATTGTGGGAATCCCACATTTCCATGTTTGGTTGGTCATGAATCTCATTCCCGGTAATATTTTATTACTAATAGTAGACTTTTTAGAGTATATTACCGGGAATATCATTATCTCCATTCCCTTAGCTATTGTAACATTTCCGGTGTTTTGGACTAAAATGCCCTTAAATTTTAATTTTTTTTCAAAAATATATTTCTTCTGTCATTGAATAATAAAAATTATACGAAGGTTAAATTACAAATTTATCCTTAAATTATTTTAGATTTACAAAAAAAAATCTATAATTAAAATTTTATATAAAGTTTTAGGGTTAAAAAATTTACCCTTTCATTAAACATTTTTTATATTTTTACTTTTGTAAAAAAATTATATAAATATTATGAATTTAATTTTTTAAATAAAATATATAAATATTTTCTAATTTTTAATATTATACAAATATATAATAAGGACAATTTGATCAAGTATACATTCTAATAATCTTTTATTTCTTTAACCAAACACGTAATCTTACATTCCAGCTAAACTAACAAAACAAAAAATACAACATTCCCAATTATCCTATTCTCTGATAATCTTTTATTCTCACTGATAATCTTATATTTTGTGAACCAAACGCAAGCGACTTTTCTTCCAGTGAATCTCCTCTTTGTATTAATTCAACTCATTTTCCTCGCTTGCTATTTCATATTCTAGGCCTCCGCCTTTCTCTTTCTCTTGCATTTCCCTTTTCTAATAAAGCAGAGCCCTATTCATTCTTCAGACAGCAGTTGTTTTTGTTATAATCGAGAACCCCTAGTCATTGCTGACAATATCTCACCTAGGATCCTGCGAAATTTGTTGTTTTAGTAAAGTTTTCTTCATCATTGTGATTTGGTGAGGTCTGCAAATGGGGAGGCATTCTTGTTGTTTCAAGCAGAAGCTAAGGAAAGGTCTTTGGTCTCCCAATGAAGACGAGAAGCTTTTAAGTCATATCACAAAACACGGCCATGGTTGCTGGAGCTCTGTCCCTAAACAAGCTGGTAACTTCTCAAAGCACTAGCTTTCATGTCGGTTTACTCTTTTAAATCATTAATTTTTCCAAATTATTTACAAAATTTGCAGGTCTGCAGAGGTGTGGAAAGAGCTGCAGATTAAGGTGGATTAATTATTTGAGGCCTGATTTAAAGAGAGGCACATTCTCTCAAGAGGAAGAGAACCTCATAATTGAACTTCATTCAGTTTTGGGTAACAGGTGTTTTTTCTCTTCTTTTTTGTTACTGGATTCTATTATGAGTTATGTAAACATTCTTTGATTTTGTTTGGTTCGATTCTCAGGTGGTCCCAAATAGCTGCACAATTGCCGGGAAGAACCGACAACGAAATTAAGAATCTATGGAACTCTTGCTTGAAGAAGAAGCTTAGGCAGAGGGGCATTGACCCTGTCACTCACAAACCCTTATCCGAGGCTGAGGAAGGAGAAGACAACAAGCAGACGAACAGCAAGGACATGGCTTCTGGGTCAGCTTCTCCGAGCTTGAAGACGATGAACAGAGGCGATAAATTCTCGACCAACAATCTGCAGCCATCCGATTTGGTGGGGCATCTTCCGATTCAACAACTATACTATGCGTCGAATGCGAGCCTCTCGTCCAGCTCGAATCCTCCTCTCTGGTTCAACCAAACCAGCCAAGCTGATTTCTCTTCGGCCACCATGTCCACTTTTGTCCCGCCATTGACGACGACCTCCTTCCCCTCTGCTCCCATGGGGTTCAAGCCTTCCGTCACTGTAAATGGTTCCCAGTATTGGGAAACTGGAGCCGCCTCGGCCAACAACAGTAACAGCAGCAACAACAGCACCGAGCTACAAAGCAACAGATGTAGCACACCAGAGAAAGGGACTCCTCCTTACACAATCCATCTAATGGAAAATCAAGCTGAAGAAATCAAATGGGCTGAATACCTCAATAACCCATTGTTAATGGCGGCTGCTTTGGAAAACCAAACTCCACAATTATACAACACCGACATCAAATCAGAAACAGATTTCTTCACTAATAATTCATCAAACACCATGTGGCCTCATAACCAGCAACAGCAGCTTATGGACACATTTAGCTTTGCATCAATGAAAGTGAACAACTTGACTTGAACCGAGACCATTCTCGTGTGTCAGGTCTGCATCACAGTTTTTTTTTCTTTTAATTCTCGTGTATATAGGTCTGATACAAAGATTAATTATCAGCTCTGCTTTGGGAGCAACTCAAACTTGTTAGTATCTTCTTTTGCTTTGTGGGATGCAAGTCCGTTGAATAAGGCTTGTTTGGGTGTCTTTTAGTCATCTTTGCCGGTGGCCATATTTGAGCTTTGGAATGTTGCAATTCTGTATGTACTGTTGACAAGAAGAACAAGGAAGAATATTTATGGGGCTTTAAGTAATCATTTCTTGAATAATTGAACCATTTGGTTTTGAAATTGAAAAGTGGTATTAACTATTAATTGAAGATTCTTTTGGCAGCACTTTTTGTATTTCTGTTTCCATGCTCAAAATTGCTCGTCTTTTTCTAGGGGTCACAAAGCAATCGTAATCGCCTTTACAAAGGCTTTATCACTTTAGTTTCAGATTTTGGTTGTTTATAACATAAATTTGTAAAATACGTATTAAAAAAAATATTTAAAGTTATTTGAAAGAATATTTCTCTAGTTAAATTTTGTTTTATAATCATCAAAATTAATATTGAGGCCTAAAGTTTAATTGAAAAATAAAATTTAGTGGTAAAATTCAATATAATTTAAATTTAGTACCAAAACTCAATTACACAAAAGTTTATTGTCAAATTTGTCATGTTTTCTTTCTTTTATAGAACCCACTATTTTTATTAAAAAAAATATCCATAAGACATTTTCTTATAACCACCGACACAAGAAACTAGTTACTTAAGATCACAAAAGGACCATGCAAGTAAAAGGTTAAAAAACTTAACCAAAAAACTCAAACAAACAATATGTGCAAATAAATCTGACTGCATTGGCAAACGAACTATAAAAAGGGATTAAGTTATTGAAAGACCATCGACAACCCGTAAATCAGAGTCGAACGACATGAGAAAACTATCTACGAATGCAAATCGCACATTCAAATTCAATCCGATGGTTCAAAGCATGGAAGATTAACATGTTAACAAATAAGTGTCATATTGATCAGTTGTAGTGATGTCAAATTCAATTTTAGGAGAAAAATAAAAACAATAACCAAACGATAAAAAAAATATGCCAAAAAATAAAGTAAAACATACTACACAGACAGAAAAAAAATTCATAAAGATAAAATTATTAAAAATAAAAAAGGTAAAGTATATAAATGGTCATTAAACTTTTTAGATGCTTGTATTTAGGTCTCTCAACTTTTAAAACTTGCAATACATTCACCAAACATTTAGTTCGTTTGTAATATGATCCCCGACGTAACGGTCATTTCACTACTGTTAGGGTAAATTATATAAATGGTCACTGAACTTTTTAAACACTTGCATTTAGGTCCCCCAACTTTTAAAACTTGTAACACATTCATCATTTATATTCTAAACCCTAAAATCCAAAATACTTCAATTACATTCTAAACCTCAAATTCCAAAATACTTCAATTACATGCCCAACCCCAAATTCATAATGCATTCTCAAAATCTGCCATAACAAACTAAACTTGAAGCATCAACCATAAACCCTCAAAACATAACCGTTTCAGAAAAAAATTAACCAACTATAAGTGAATAATAAGTGATTATGTTGGGTTTAGGGTCTAAGGTTATGTTGGACCTAAATACTCAATTCAGTTTATAAAATAGTTGACTCAAAATTTTTTCGATTTGAGTTTATAAAATTTAAATCAAGTCAAATTGAATTGAATTTTCGAGTTTCTGTTTAAATTTAATTATAAATATGTATCATATTATAATATTATTTGATTCTAATTTAGTTCAGTTTATAAAATAGTTGACTCGATTTTTTTTATTTCAGTTTATAAAATTTAAATCAAGTCGAATTGAATTGAATTTTTGAGTTTCTATTTAAATTTAATTATAAATATTTATAATACTATAATATTATTTGATCTAATTTAAATAGTTTTTTAACCATATACAATACATATATTTCTTCATATTTTTCCCATATGTGATATACATATATCATACAGAGTCAATGGACTTGACTCAAACTTAAAAATTAATCCACTAATTACTAAAAATTTTGAGATATTCGAGTTGTATTTTACAACACGATTTTAACTTGAATTTTTTTTAAGTTGAGTTTATGAAATTACAACTCAAAGTCCATTTGTATCAAATTTTTTGAATCAATTCAAGTCGAAAAATATTTTTTTTTCAAATCGAATCGAGTATTGTTCACTTATAGTTGGTTAAATCTAACTTTTAAATCCTAAACCCAACATAATCACTTATTGTTATGGACCCAAAATGAACTAAATGTTGTTGATTATGTTGGGTTAATTGGTGGGAAAATTTAGCATTTAAGGTTATGTTTTGAGGGTTTAGGGTTGTTGCTTCAAGTTCAGATTGTTATGATAGATTTTAAGAATGGATTATGAATTTGGGGTTAGACATGTAATTGAAGTATTTTTGGAATTTGAGGTTTATAATGTAAGTGAAACATTTTGGAATTTAGGGTTTAAAATGTAATTGATAATTGTGTTGCAAGTTTTAAAAGTCGGGGGACCTAAATGCAAGCGCCTGAAAAGTCCAATAACCATTTATATAATTTACCCTAACGGCAGTGAAACGACCGTTACGGGGACCATATTGCAAACGAACTAAATATTTGATGATTATATTGCAAGTTTTAAAAGTTGAGAACCTAAATACAAGCATCTGAAAAGTTTAGTGATTATTTATATACTTTACCCTAAAAACAATTAAAGATATAATATAAAGAATAAAATAAAATAAAAAATATCGATAATGATAATTAAGTCCGAAATTAATGTACTCCCCTATCAACCAAAATTGATTAAAAATGTAATGACACACATCAATAAAATTGTGAACATTTTAATACACCTAAGGTGATGACAAATTTACAATTTTTTATTACAACAACAATAAACATATGTACATAAATATTTATATATATGTCTACAACCCAAAAAAAGAAAGAACATGCTCACTGCGATTGTCAGCACCAGGGGACCTTCCCAATGCTACGTGTCCCTATTTAGCTGGTTGTGGGTCCCTTCATCTAAGCCATTCGCCTTGTGGTCTCTTTAATCATTTTCTTAAGGATCATGCACAAAGCTTAACCCTCCTTAATCAAAACTGATTCCAAATACGAAATTACAATCTCAACCTTTTACTTATTTTCTCAATCAGCAAAGGAAGTCATCAATAGAGCGAGGGCTAGAGTGGTAGGAAGGAAATACGCAAAAAATTAAAGGAGATAATATTTACTACAAATGTAGTGCTTAAAGATTTGATATATAGTTTGTTATAAAGTTGCAGCGGCTCATAAAAGCAAACACTTTAACCTTCTTCACTTCAATCTTTTTTGGGTTACAAAAAGCGAAGATGGCATCAGAAGAAAGTATGGCGATTGTGTCTTCGATGCTTGAAGATGGGTTTCATGAAATTGTTGTTGTGTTTGATCATGATGATGATAATCATCAGGCTCATCCGCATAACTTGTCTAGGCTTTCAATGTGCACTAGTTCCATGTCCAGATTATCGATCGAAAGCTTTGATGCCGATGACGACGAAGATTTCTTTAGCAAAGAAGAGTCAATTCAACTCTCCTCTGACTCCGACAAAGAGCCTGGTTGTTACTCTCTTCCCGCTACGCCGCTTCGTTGGAAGAATCCGACCAGAGAGGCTTTCGCTCCTCAGTTGATGGGAATGGTCACGGATTACGCCAGTGAAAATGAAGATCTAAAGGTGGGGTTCGAGAGGCCAAAAGGGAGTAAGAATTTGAGGAGGAGGACTGTAAGCGAAAGATGCCCAGATATAGACTTGAAAAATGGTAGCGACAAGAAAGATGGGGATTTCATGGTGGGTTATAGCAATTACAGTGGGGAGAGCGAAGGGGGTAGCGCCGGCGTGGTGGTGATTACTAGGCCAAAAGGCAGCAAGAGGGCGCTGTGTATGGATTTGGAGGAAGTGAAAGCGTGTAGGGACCTGGGTTTTGAATTAGAACATGAGCTTATATTGGAGATCCCCAGTGTCACCGTCGGTCGTGTATCACTGTCGGGTTCCACTCTCTACACCGCCAGCAGCGGCGGCGATTCTCCTATTGCCAACTGGCGTATCTCCAGCCCTGGTTAGTCCAGATCTGAATTAGCTTTAATTTGAACCCATTTTCAGTACATGTGACGAGATGTTTGCTCTTTAAAAGGTGATGATCCCAGGGATGTCAAGGCTTGGCTGAAGATGTGGGCAAAGCAGTGGCGCTTGCATCATCATCCAGGCATTGCAGTTGACATTGAAGCTACTCTCAACTATCACTATTGGTTCACGGTTTTATTTCCACATGGAAACCCTTATGTTTGGTACATTTGGTACTTTTCTTCTCCATGTTGTTGCTTAGAAAATAAGTTTTCTCGAGGATTATTCCACCTTTTTCCCATTCATGTATAGCCTTTTCCGCTTGTAAATGTGAATGTGGAGTCAAGTTCCCGTTGCTGATCTGATTTTCTATTGGCCTACTGGAGAATTTTGGATGAATATTCCGAAAAGGTTGCATTTTTAGAGTTTTGTTGATTCAATGTCCCCACACAAAAGCCTAAACTTTGATAAATGATAAATCACCATAATTATGATTTGCTTAACTTTTTATATACCCAAAGCAATAAAGCAAGGCCTATGGGGTCAAATAATCAGAGGCTCTTTTGTAATTAAGAAAGCAAGTGCAGAACTTCCATTGCAGAAAACTACCGTGAAGCCTTTCACCGGCTTGTTTAAAGATCATTGCTTTCTGCATATTGCTTAAATGAACCATCAGATATACATGTCAAACAGAGTGAAACTCGCAGAAAAGAACAAATGAATTCCCTTTTTTTTAATTAAGTTCAATACAAAGGTAAAAACGAATGTTGTTCTTGATAGAGGATCCGGGCTCGAGCAGTTGCGTCTGCAAGATGTATACGTGCCTTGTCAAAATGCTTAGAAAATTCTAAACAGAAACTATCTTGTAATCATCTCAAACTACTAAAAAACAATACAAAGTCGATTACCATGAGATATATCACCATACCAAACATCCTGCCTACTTGTATTCATTATTCAAAATATCTCAAATGCTACAGATTCAATATAAAGCACGTGGAACATATGTGAACCTGAAATTGACATGATCAAATAAAGGACCCGGTTCCATATTGTGGCTATCATCGAGCAACATCCCTCTCTGTCTCCGGCGCTTAATTTCTTCACTTTATTGCAGAATCATTCCAGAGAATCGAGTATCTTAACCACGGAATATCAGAAAAGAGAAGGCAGCGACTAGTATCAAAGAGGCACTTCAAATGAATGACTTGAAGCAAAAGGATCCACCTTATCTAGCTACGATGTGTACTTTAAGTTATAATTGTTAGTCACTGGCCAAACTGAGACCCTTCATGATGCATTTGGAATATTTGAAGGTGATCAAGAAGACACTAAGCAGATTTAGGAGAGTAAATGTCACCCTTGTCAACTCTGAGATCATTATGGTTGATGTAACATCATCACTGCAGAGGAAGATATTAATTTTCAGTCTCACAGATGTCGCGGAGAGAGGAAATCCAGAAAGGGTGTATTAGGTATACTAAGCCAAGAAACTGGAAAGAGATAACATATACTGCAGTTTGCAATGCACTCGACCACAAATGGGTGGAAGAGTTCAAACTACAAGAACAATGCCTCACCTGTAATTGCATCCGGGATAAATTAGTGTAAAACGAAACTTACCTGAAGCCGAGCATGAAGATATCAAAAGTCTTTGGAGGCATGGTATTGTTTAAAGTATAGTTTTTGAAAAGATAAATAAAAAAGAGAGGATATTGGTAATCGTTGTGATTTGCATAGCCTACAAATCTCATAGTTATCATTCTATCGTTGAAATGAATGAATGTTACAGTTTCCACAAATGGCAATTGAGAAAAGAATAAAGTGAAAGCCATGCAGGACTCTACAGGCAGCCAATGAGAAGTTCGCACTCACTTGAAGATAAGATTGTGACAGGTTTTGTCAGAGGGATACGGATAGTCAATAGCTTTAACAGCCATTCGATCAAAGAACCAGTCTCCAACAGACACTGCAATTGCCTGCATATTGATAACAAAAATCCAATTTGCAAAAGACAATTGTATGAATTCTGACCCATACATGCACACGGAGAAGCTATTTGCAACTTTACATTCAAGCATTTGAATAGAACGTTCACAATTAAGTTTTATGAATAGATGGGACATACCTTGTTTCCAACACGAGGAGAATCATTCTCGTACCATGTATCCTGTCTCTCGGACTGGCAGTGAGCAAAACAGGAATTTATGAATAAACCATTTTGATCGGACTTCAAGAAACCATTTAAGGCATTGAGCATTAGGGTCCTGAAGTCTGCTTCAACAGGAGGAGGAAGAAAAGAGTGGTTATGGGCTATTAATATATATTCGACTTGCCACTAAAGGAATTGAGTCAAATCATATCAGAAACAAACTTGAAAAACACTTTGCAGAGACTGCATTTGTGATGAGATACAATGAGCATGATCCATTTTGCAGTCACGCCAGAAGCAATTAGGATCGGCAGACAATGGGATTAAACTTTCTTGGACCAGAAAGCAGAAATTAGAGAAAATTGTTGTCATACATTAGATAATGACCTTTCCAGACAATCCCAAAGTTCTGCTTTTGACAACTGTTTCCAAGAAGTCTTACTGTTTAGCAGATGGCTTCTCGCCTTCGAAATGTTTCTGGGTGGACAAACGGATTATCATTTGAGAAAAGACAAAAATAAAGAGAAGGAACAGGAAAAAACGAAACAGGAAGTAACAAAAAGAGGGAAATTACCTGCCAAGCATCATAGGCTGCATTCAGAAGAAACATAGGGGTCTTGATATTTGCAACTAGGCCTGTAAACGAACCAAACACACACGAACGGAGGTATGTTTATGTTCGTTCATTTAATAAATAAACGAACACGAATATAAACAAAAAAAAAATTGTTCATGTTCGTTCATTAAGGAATATAGCTTGTTCATGTTCGTTCATTAAGGAATATAGCTTGTTCATGTTCATTCATTTAAATGATAAACGAACGTAAACGAACACAAACGAACGAACATAAACGAACATAATAAATGAACATAAACGAACAACACAAACACAAAAAAAAAACTTATTCTAACACAACAAATGAATGTAAAAAAAATAAATAATAAGAATAACAACTTAAAATTCTTTAATATAACCTGCAACTTTAGAGTTAATTTGTTCGAATACGACAAAAATATACATAAATCATAAATAAGTTATATGAACATAATAAAGTCTTAAAGTTAATTTGTTCAACAAAACAATCTTCTTGAAATCCAAAAAACTTCAATAATCTTCGTAACATATTCAACTTGCCCTCTGTTCGAACATAAATGAACATAAATGAACGAACATAAACAAACATATAATCGAACGTTCACGAACGAAAATGAACGAACGAGCTCTTTGTTCGTGTTCGTTCATTTAATTAAACGAACGCAAAATCTTGTTCATGTTCGCATAAACGAACTTCCCGCCGCACGGTTCACTGAAAGTTCAGTTCATTTACAGGCCTATTTGCAACCAAGTTTTGAGGGAAGAAGCACTGCGAATGAAAGATAGGATTATGGAATTTCTAATGAGTTACACCTACTCTCTTAACCTAAACCATATATGAATGCCAATCAAGAAACTGGAGATATGTTTACTGAAGTTGGATCCATTTGGCTGGTACAAGTATTTGGAAGATTCTTTTGTACACCCTAAAATTTCATAGAAATTTTTGTTTAGCCAGTAGAAAACAACGAGATAAAAATTTCATAACTAAATGTTGAATATTCAGAACAGCACAAGCTTTTCTTTCTGGAGGACCAAATATTTGTCTCGAAAAAACTAGAGCAACAAAATATCGATCTATAGCTCAGGAACCTTGGATAAATAGCACTGAAGTTTTACTTGATCTTCAAGGTTTACATACGAAAGCTCATGTTCTACTTATTAGTTGAATTTTCATCAATCCAGAAATCCAAGAGAGGAGTAAAAGCGGTACCTGTAGGATAACCACACCCTCATACATATCCCTTAAGGTATGTCCACCAGCTACATTGGTTCTGAAGAGATAATGAAAACCAGTAATTAAGACTAGTTTTACAATTGATATGAACCTACTATAACCAAGGAGGAGAAGAATGGCGTAAAGTTTATTACGCATCAAGGAACAGGCCCGCATCACTTGGACGTTTTACTTTCGTAGTTCCGGGAAATAAATCCTTAACTTCATCACAATGAAGAATGGAGGCTAGACCGCCAGCTGAGCACCCAGAAGAAGAGCCTGAGGCACAATCAAATCTAAAATTTATTAGATATCCGAAGCTAGATTGAAAACCGAAAAAGCATGCTAAATGCAAAACCTGCTCAGCATTCTGCATTCCCTTCGCCATTAGTTCCTCCATAGCAGCAGACCAGATCCTTTGTCCTCTAAAGTGAAGTTGGTTAGCCTGGAAGCAAAATCACAGAGTACCATGAATGCTTCAACATATTAAGATAGTAAAAAGTTACACAGAATACAAGCTACGGAAGAAAAACAATCTGTTCTTACACTAAGTAGTTACAAAGAATGTTCTCAACAGTCACTTCTAAGGAAATAACGGGAAAAAACAGTAGTTTTAAGGCTAAAAACCGGAAATAAGCATCGATCTGCTTTCTCACAGCGAAATAAGCATCGAGTGAATCGAATTTTACACAGACTGGGGTATTTGTGTGGCGAGCAACTTAATTATAATTCAGGGAAATGCGTACCTCATTCTGTCCTTCCCCAGCAAAAGATGCCCCATCACAGTAACGTAGCTTCACTCTGTTCCAGTTGTAGAAATCTGCAGAACACAAGAGGCCCCATTAAAAAATTCAACATAAATACTTGCTCGGAAAGAAAAAGTTAAGATGGGACTACAAATTGTACAAACCAGGGTTTTCTTCAGCTTTATTGCTCAAAATTCCAGTGAAATTTATTTGCTTCTCCATAAATTTTGATGAACCACATCGAGTAGTTTTGCGGAAGAGACAACTTCGAATGGTATTACACCATCCACCTCCCTAAAACAAAGCATCCAGTCCGGTGAAGCGATTAAAACTAGCTACGAGGAAATCAAACAACTAGAGGTTCTATCTTGACATAGGAAATGCCAAGTGACTTTAGAAGGAAACCAAACCTCCGATTGGATGAGCCAGCTGTTTGAACCAGACCCGAACCCACGGTCCAGATGATAACCAGGAGGAGTCCCGTCCAAACAAACTGTGAATGCCAAGGCATCAAAAGGAAGCAAACGACCGAAAGAATCAAACTTTCAAGGCATTTACTGTTAAGTTTCTGAAATTTTACCAGCTCCTTTTGAAGCAGCTCCTTGAATGAGAGTGAGGGGAACCAGAAGAGAGTTGGCACCAGGGGATACAACATTTTTTTCCAAGAACGAAAGTAATCCCTCTTTAGCGTTGAGTTCTTCTAAACCAGCTTCAGATCGGCTCAAACCAACCCCAATTACGGTCCACAAACTCAAAACCCATATCAAAACTCCCTTCATTGTTTTCTTTTTCTCCCTTGGAGATTACAGCTAACTTTACCAACCAAAGTTAAAAAAGAAACAACGTATTTTTCTGTCGATAAGTTTGAAAAGCTTTGCAAGAGAGCTAAAACTTAGAAAAATGACGATGAGAGAGGCATGGTTGGATAGAAATTTCAGCTATGATTTCGATAACCCCATTTTTGGAAAGAACAGCATAGATGAAGGCAAGTTGCAAAAGTTGAGTTGACTGGCTTCACTGCCTGGTCAGCCACATGAGACCGTTGTATGACTTGTTTCTCTTTTCCCTGCTTTTCGTTTTCATTTAAATTTTGGAATTTACTGCTTTTGTAGATACACCATATATAATTTTATTTTGAGTAAACTATAAGAACGATCCCTTCTATGTTTATAGGTAGGATATGCGTTTCTGAATATTAGTATATTAGTGCTGAATATTTTCCCTATAATTCTTGGGGTATTTTTTTATTGGTTTAAATATAAAATAAGTATTTGAAATTATATTATCTTTCATGAATAAATATTTAAAGTATTTATTTTATTCATTCATTAAAATTAGGTATGCGACGCAATCGGTTCGGATTAGTCTAGACGAAGCCTTGGAATCGAGATGACAACAAAAAAAATATTTCTTTTACTCATCTCGGTGCCTAATGTTACGAATATTACTACTTTATGTGTCTGGACTATCAATAATGTTAATTTTCTTGTTAATTGATATGTGTCACAATTTGATTATTTAAAAAATTTATTTAAAAATTAAAAATATATTTTTTAAAAGAACATAAAAATTTTAAAATAACTCCAAAACTTTGAAAACCTTCGTTTTAACCCCTAAATCCATATCGACCTTCGCCCTATGTCGTCGATGAAGCTCCACTTGACCTCACCTTCCCCCGGTGATCAAAATTCCTATGAAATCATGACCGGTCAATGACAAATAAATGTTTTATACTCGTAAACTCTAGGATGAAAATCTCAATTCCAAGCAATTTTAACTGTCAATCGGCATTAACTAAGATAAGGTATCACTAGGAGGATCGCAAGGACTACGTCGACGACAATGATCATGGCCAAAAAGGACGACAATAACGGGTTAAGGTTAAGATTTTGGGTTTTTTTATAATTTAAGAGAATCTAATTTTTTATAAATATAATAATATTTTTATTTTTTTTAAAATAAATTTTAAAATCACCAAATTGTAATATGTGTCATTTAACAAAGGAAATTAATATCATTAACGACCCGTGCACCTGAAATTATAACATTTGTAACGTTAAACTCTAAGATTAGTCAAAAAAATATTTTAAACACTTGTTAAAAAAACAGTATAATTTAAATACTTATTTTATATTTAATCTTTTTTTATTTCCCATCATATCCTTTTTTTTTTGTGAGTAGACAATTTAGGAAGATATAATATTGATACGAAGTGTCGGTAAAGAAGACGATTATTCTTCTAGGAATTTAATTCTTAGTTTTTTTTTAAATACTTTATGCACATTTTTCTTCTCACTAAGCCTCAGCCTTTTCTAACTAAACAGTTAGGTTTTTTTTTGGGTAATACAAAACAAATAAGAGCAAAGGAAAACAGATGGTTTTCCTGAACGGGATGTGCAATTTGGCCAATTACATCCCTAAAGTTTTATTACAAATGTAAATAGGCAATCGAAATCAGGAAACTGAAGCAGCACTTGATAAAGTCTCCTCATCTTCCCCAAAATGGTACTGCTCGTAGACTTCAAGTAACAATTCCCTGCATGGTACAACAACCCCTAGCTTAATGCAAGCCAAGAAAGCACCCGAAAGTTTTCGCTGAAGACTGTAGGCCTCATCTGGAGGTGGGGTAAGGCGGTGCCTCAGCATTGTTGCCCCGAGGTTCGAAATGCTTGGAGTAATATTGGTTGAGCGGAAATCATGGCCACCGGGCTTAGAGAACGGCAATCCCACAACAAAACCGGCTTGAACGTGAGCGTCCAACATTAGATCTGATTCCATCCCTGTGAGGAATCCGAGTCTCTGTGACATCTCAATGACGGCTTCTCTGTCATTATTTGCACAAGCCATAACCTGGTCGAATAAATACAAGGACAATCAGCTCATTCATATGGAAAATCAACTCTGAACATGGTACAAAGCGTCCCACAACTAAAGGTCGGACACCTCATGCCATTAAGAAACTTGAAGAAAAGTCATCTAAAGATCAAACTACATCAATGGAGGTTTATGCAGGAAAAGGTCTAACAGTATAATCTATGATGGCCGAAGGCAAATAAATGGCTGATTTAGAACCTAAATGTAAACGGCGGATTATTCCCATTCATGCAGAAATGTAGCACTTTTTAAGGGAACTGACCATTCTCAAATAATCATCGACAAATCGTTTAGGAAAATCTCGGGCTGCTCCAAAGTCGATGAGGTTGATTGTTTTGGTGGCCTCATCAAATAGGAAATTACCCCAATTGGGATCAGTCTGTATCACAACAAGTAAATGTTCAAGACACAAGAGAGAACATCGCTTCTTCAACAGAACTTCAAAAATAAAAGAAAGCAGAGCATTTTACGAGAATAAGGGCCAGAAGATCATGTAAAAACTAAAAATCAAAGTCATGATTCTCCTCGAATAGATTGCATCAGGCTTGGATAAAATATTGAGAACTAACCAAACCAAACCATTTCATTATATTTAAATGTAACAAACACCCTTAGATGGAAAAGCATAAATAAACTTCAGGGATGTAAATGGTTTGTAAAAGCAGGGAAGAGAGAGAAACGAAAACAAAACCCTCTTAGAAAAGGAGAAAGAAATTAAAGAAAGGAAACCTGCATAAAGCGGAATACAAAAAGCTCCATTAATGTCAGTTTCAGCAACTTTCTCCCAACATAATTACGAGCTCCTAGGTCTAGCAATGCAACCTGGTCAATCGGAACTCCTGTAGCAAGTAATAACATTTCAAAGAAAAACAAATAGGATTCAAGAGATAATTCTATCAACCCTGTAAACTAGAAACAGTTTTAGAGGCTGGATAAGATATATACGCATTAATCTATTAGATTTTCCAGTTAAAATATTTTCTTTTATATAGTTGCAAGAATTTATCCGCTGAAAACTTAGATAACATCACACCACCATCCAAATGTCATGCTTTAAGAAAAATAGGAACCTAAAAGCCACACGATGATTACCAGAAACAAGTTCTGTGGTCAAAACTCTTTTGCTTGAAAGATCATCCACAACAAGTGGAACATAAAATCCCTCACAGACAGATAGCATATCACGAAACCTTTTCTGATTGGATGCCTCCAACTGATAGTCACATTCACGAGACAATTCTTCTTTAGCCACCTGCAAGAATTCAAAAGCATAAACGTCCAATTTGTTGAACTAAAATACAGGACAAAGCACCCATTTTGAGGAGGCATGGAAAAGTATGACAAGAACCAGTTAAAAGGCGAAGGAATAAAGATAAACAATGCAAGGAAAAGATTCTCAATAATATCTGTAAGTGTCCATGAAACTGACATTGGAAGGCCAATCATTTACTTAACATAGTCTCTTAGAAACTTATTAAAGCAAGTTCAAATACATAAGTGCATACCTTCATTGCTCTGTCAAGATACAGTCCTTTAGGAATTAGATTTGTATAATCTAATAGAAGTTTGACATTCTCAATGTCACTGTCAATGCTACTTGCCACACCGGGGTACTGAATTTTCATTGCTACCTCCATACCATCCTTCGTGATGGCTCTGTGAACCTAGAATTAGAAAAGGAAAAACAATGGCCGGTTTAAAATTGATATGATAAGACAAATAGGAACAATTGTTGCTTCATCCAAATCGCCTCATTGAGCAATATATTCCGTTTGAAATGATGAAACAGAGCACGTTGATGGGAAAGCAAGAAACAGTAAATGGACATACAAGCATGATAATTTTTCAAATGTTGATAATCATAAGCAAAAACTTAAAACTGAATTTCATACATACAAAAAAAGGAAACCAAGTAGTAACAAGTATCAAACTGCCATGGACAAATTAAATTGCACAAGGCATTTAATGACCACATAAAACACCAGTGAACACCATCTGAAATGATGAAACAGAGAAGGTTGAAGGAAACGCGAGAAAGAGTAAAAGAAGAAACAAGCATGATATTTTTTTCAAATGCCAATAAGCATAAGCAAAAACTCAAAAAATGAATTTCATATATACAAATGAAGGAAACCATATGTAAGTAGTAACAAACGTCAAATTGCCAGAGACAAATTAATTTGCACAAGGCATTTATCACATAAAACGCCAGTGAACTCAAGTGAAGGTTGAAAAGAATAGAAATGCCAGAGCATTAAAAAATGATCCATTACAACCAAATAACATCAATGCCAGAAATAAAAAGAGTAATTGATATTAACATGTCATGTCCACGCATAGATAAAAGATTTTGTACATAAAGACTCTTTGCAGCATGAAGCAACATATAGACAAAGAAACATTCTGCCTTAAAAGGTTAAAGACAAAACATATAGGGAACATCTTAGTCTGCAAAACAACACGATAAACATGCAACCATTTTGCTTACCTGGCCTATACTTGCAGCGGCCAAGGGTTCATAATCAAAGCTAGTCAACTTTGTGGACCAACCAGGACAAAGTTCAGCATCTAATACTTGATTGAGCTGGCTCCTTGGCATAACATCTGCACCTTGACGTACAATATCCAGAGCAGCTAATATCTACAGAAAATGAAAGAAGGTGAAAACATGATTGAGCCACTGTACAAAGTCTTTTAGGCAAGTAACATTAATCAGAAAATATAAACCATAACCTCCAGCAACACATATTTTTAAATTGATCCTCAACAAAGAACCACAAGTATACCATTCCCAGAATGAACTTTTTCACACTATCAAATTACATTAATTAAACACCACTGTAACACATACAGCAGGAAAAAAACATAAGTCAGCATACCGGAGCTGGAACAAGGGATTCATCCTGTATGCTTAACATCTGTCCTACTTTTAGAGCGGCCCCACGCATCCTACATAATGCAAGGGCCAATCTTTCTGCATTTTTAGGGGACAAGAATGGCGAAACAGCAGACTGATTTTCATTTGAGTTTGGAGAACCATAAACAAGCCTCTTGGCAGATTCCTGAACTGTTCCCCAAGCTAGACCAGCTCCTAAAGCAGCAAAGCTTTTGATGTTAAACAAATAACTAGTTAGAAAAGTAGGAAAAAAAGAAACATATAATGTTGCAGTAGCAATATATGATAAAACATTAAAAGAAACACACAATTTACCCAAATGCTCTAGAAAATGGAGTAGCCGGAACCTTCCTTTCCCTTGGCCTCCGTCGCTTCACAGGTACTGGCGCCTCTGCCGCCGTTTTCACCACTTCGGCGTCGTCCACATAGCTCTTACTGCCCGAATTGGATTCAAATCCTCTTTCCGATCCATTATTAACAACTTTCTCCTCAACAATCTGTTGACCGTTATGACTAACGCCTTTATCAGAATCGACCTTTTCATCGCCGGTAAGGCCACCACGTGCGGTTTCGTTCGAGGAAGAATTTACAACGTCCTCGCCGCGGCCTTCACTGTAGCTGTTGAAGTAGACGACTGATTCTTTGGGTCCAGGCTTGGAAAACTCGCTGGAAAACTCGCGCACCTTCCCTTTAGTTAAGCCCGTCAGGTCCGTAGCCGAAACTAGAGCGTTTTTTAGGGAAGAAGCGATTAGGGTTTCGAGATCGCCACTTTTGGCGCGCTCGATCGTTTGGGAGCGTTTAGCGACCTCTTTAGCTACTAAGGCAAGTCCATTCAGGAGCCGCCCTAGCTGATTCAAAGAACTCATGGCGCGTTTAATTCAAAGCACCATCTATTTTCTCCTAACAAAAAAGTGAATGTGTACCCTTGATTTTATTACAAACTACAATTTACTAAGCCAGAGAGATCGCAAATTAGAAGACAGAGAGACGTTTGAAACGAAAATAAAACAGTGTGGTGTCTTAAACCGAAGGCTTGGAGTTTCAACCGTATTTCAGGTAAAGTGGGTTTTGTCGTGTCCATGAAATTGTGAAGAAAGAAAGGAGGGGGACGTGGAGGCTTATGGCCCAGTGAGCCGTAATATTTATTTCCAGTCTTCTTGGGCCTCCCTTAACCTAGTCCCGATTAAACAGAATGGAGGAATTAGTTTATCTTTAGGATAAAACTACAAATATCACCCAACTTTCACCATGTTTCTATTTTGGTCATCAGATTAAAGTATAACAATTCATAAGAGTAAAAAAGAAATATAAAATTTTCAACAATCGGTCATTATTGTTTCGGATCAGATTTTGTTAAGCACATTCATAGAGTAAGAAAGAAAGAGAAAATATGCTCACCACCTCAGCCATTTCAGCATCAACCTCAAACATCAAAAACATGTATTATGAACAGGCCCCATCACCCATTTCCTGGATAGTGCATCAACCTCAGACATTTCATTCATGTCTTCTAGTGAATTTTTTCTTTCTCCAAGTGTTTGAGACCGTTCTCTCTCTGATTCTATGGTTAATATTGATGGGATTGCCTTGCTTTCATGTAATCTTTCACACAGTGTATCATCCAAAATTCTCTCAGAAATCACATATCATCAGGTACATGAGAAATTATCTTGAGCTTATAATATTGAGAACTAGAAATAACTAATATTGATGGGAAATGTTTTAAAATTAGTAAGATCAGATGTTCCATTACGAGGCTTTGATAAAATCTGCAGGCTTGTATTGACCTAAAATTGATAAGAACAGCACAACCATGTCGAGAGCTTAAAGAATATCATCCAAATTTCTCTCAGAAATTACATATTATCAGGTAAACTCATCCTGCTAGAGAGAAGAAGAGGAAAAAGAGTGCATTCCATGTTTTTGTGGAGGTAGTTAGCCTTCTAACGGTAGCTCCCCACAATTCACAATTCTGCATGGCACCTTCGGGGTAACTGACCTGCTTGTGTCTTGGGATTCTAGTTTGCGCACAACATCCATTCCATCAATAACGTGTCCGAAAACAATATGCCGATTGTCCAGCCATGGAGTCTGTAAATGTCAAATTGTATTAGAGTCCTAACCATGTTTACTGCGTTATTAAGAGTGCATATTGTTTTAGGAGTCTTTATCTCTGGATAAACTATATCTAAATTAAACCAACTTAAGCTAAAAAAAACTGGGGCGTATGAATATTTGTGCGTTGCAACTGATTCGGCAATATGATCAATTAGCTAAATATCAGCAGAGCTGGCCAGTATTCAGCTATAAGTAGAATATACAAGTGCAGGGTAAGTAATCGATTCAAAGTTTGCAACTAATAAGATATACTCGACTCATGAAGCAAAATCTAAGTCTTCGAGTGAACATTTACGCATTCTTGATTCTCAAAGTCCGCCATAAAACGAACTTCTAATGATAATGGTGGAACTATCCTATCATAAATATCAAATCCGAATAAGGCATGAGATATTGTTGGTAAAATAGACCGTAAAACTACACCGTTAGCACTAACTGGAAATATAAACAGTAATTAAAAGAAATAGATTCGTAAACCGTGTCGTGATATAACCACTGCTTTAGAAACGAATTCGCCCCGATGTGTGTAATCGTTGCAGTAGGCGGACCGTCCCCCGAGGTTAACACGGTCACTCCGAATTCCACCCGAAATTGGAGTGGACTGCCGGTGGTATTGTTCTTCTTATCGGAAAGCACACAGAGAAAATATTTAGAAAACACTTGGAGAGTGAATTCTAAATGTTGAGAGTGAGTTGAGAAGCTGAATATAACTCTCTATTTATATGCTAGAAATAGGGTTAAAATCGTCCATAAAATTTCAGGATTAAATATCTTCTTTGTAACAGCTGAAACGTCTAGATGAACTTGACTCAGAAATAGTTCAGGTTCATTGCATCATTATTCAGCTGTTATAACTCCCGAAATTATATCATGTAACCCCTGTAATTAAATCAAATAACTCTTGTAACTCCTGATATTAACAGCTTGTCCCCTTTGTACAAAGCTGGAAATCAGTCCAGATGCATCTTAACGTTTTTTATTTAATTTAGGAAAAGCTGTTTAATTTCTGATAACTCTCATAAACCAGTTGTTATCATTTAAATTTAAACAGTCCTCAACAGCCTATAAATATCAGTTGAAATCTTTCACATTTTTCCATTTGTTTCTTTCAAAGAGAAATTCTTCAAGAATTTTCTCTAAAAATATAGTGTCCGCGCGGACGTGTTGAAGACACGTATTACCACGACCACGAGCCGAGCCGTGCCGTGTCGAGACGAGACGGACGGCGGCGCGCAAGAGTCCCCCTTGTTCTCTTTCACTCAACAAAGAAGTGAGAAATCCAAACCATAAATACCCATTCTCAATAGTATTTCCAATACTATGTGGGAGCATTACCAACATTCCCCCACTAATGCGAAAGAATTCTTCTGAAACTCGAAAACAAACTTTCCAGAAGAGCAATAGCGAGATTACTTGCTTAAGCACTAGTGAACGTATCTGGAACTAGTACATAGTGATAATGAGCAATCTTTCTCTTAGATAAGTGAAACTAGTCTGGAATTTTCTAAGATGGGGGTAAACTCATAACACACAGCTAACCCCTTCATCCACCTGAGTCCTCGATGTGTAAGATATATATATATATATATATATACAAAAGTATATATTTGGCCATCTTACCTCAGGATTCTAGTAAGTGTGCTAGAAAAATGACCCAATATTTTTCATAGAAGGTGGCTAACCCTTCTCACTTACATAGGTTATTTCATCAAGTTTATCTCGATATAAACCACCCTTAACAGGGATATGAAATAATTAGGAGCTTTTACAATAACTCAACCTCACAAAGGGTATGATAACTTTTTTCAAGTTCATTATTAATGAACCACCCAAACTCTGAGCTAAGAAGTCATTAAGAATAAATATTCAACCTCATTTATCGGTAAATTCAATAAGTCCTTCTCACTAGAACCATCCAAATACTTGGATTTGAATTTATTAAGAGTTTAACAAACTCAACCTTTCTGTCGATAAGTTCATTATTTCCTTCTCATTTAGGAATATCCATTCACTCTGGGTTATGAACTTATTAAGAATAGATATTCAGCCAAAATCGATAAATTCATCAAGTCTTTCTCACTAAGACCGCCTGAAGTCTGGGCTATGAATTTATTAAGAGCAATTAAGCTCATCCTAGGCATGCACATTATTCATCATAGGGATAAGCAGTAGGAATGTGCACTATGAGTCTTTCCATGGTTTCGTTTGACCACATAGAACTTAGATAACTAAGTTGGGTATCCACCATGAATTCCTCAACCAATGGGCTTTAGACCCATCCCCCTCGACGAATCTAGGACCAAGGATCTGCTAGGTTTCTTTCCGACTTCACATACTCTAAAGAGAGCACTCCATTCTTTATTAAGTGTCTAACTGATTCATGTCTTATGCGAATGTGTCTTTTCTTACCATTGTAAGTTTGGTTCTTAGCCACACATATCGCAGCTTGTGAATCACACAACAATGAAACTGGAGGAGTCGGTCTTCTCCACAATGGAATATCTGCTAAGAAGCTTCTGAGTCACTCGGCTTCTTGCCCAACTAGGTCAAGAGCTATAAACTCTGACTCAATGGTAGAACGAGCAATACAAGTCTGCTTTGATGATTTTCACGAGATTGCTGCTCCACCCAAAGTAAAAACATACCCGCTCGTAGAGCTTACCTTATCATTATCAAAAACTCAGTTGACATCACAATATCCTTCTAGTACCGCAGGAAAGCCAACAAACTCAAGTTTTCAATCCAAAGTACCCTTAAGATACTTCAGTAAGCGTTTAAGAGCAATCCAGTGCTCACCACTCGGATTATGAGTATATCTACTCAGTCTACTCACAGCATAAGCAATATCAGGCAGAGTATAGTTCATTGAGAACATTAAGCTCCCAATTAATTTAGCATATTCAATTTGGGAAACGCTACTTCTTTTATTCTTAAAGAGATATATGCTAGTGTCACAAGGGTTCGAACAGGGACGATATCAAAACTGTTAAATTTCTTTAACACTTTCTCAAGATAGTGTGTTTGACATAAAGAAAATCCCTTTCCAATAATTTTGACTCCTAAGATTACATCAACTTCTCCCATATCTGTCATCTCAAATTTAGTGGACAATAAATTATTTGTTTTGCTAATAGACTCAATGTTAGAACTGAAAATCAACATGTCATCAACATACAAAACTTATGATGACGTAATCAGTACCAAACATTCTCGAATACACACAATCATCCAAACCATTCACGACAAAACCAAAACTAAGTATAGTTTTATGAAATTTCTTATACCATTGTTTCCATATAGATCTCCTTATCTAGATCTCCATTCAGAAATACAGTCTTAACATCCATTTGATGTACTCACAACTTATGAATGGAGGTAGTGCAAATAATGTACGGATCATTGAGATGTTCATAACGGGAGAGTAAGAATCAAAGTAGTCTAAAACAAACTTTTGAGTGAACCCTTTGACAACTAGCCTTGCCTTGTACCACTGGATCAAACCATCTGGTCTTATTTTCTTCCGGAAGATTCATTTGCTACAGATTGGTTTAAGTCCTCTAGGCAAGTCAATTAATTCTCGAGTATGATTAGACATTATCGATTCTAGTTCATCAAAAAGCGTTTTTAGAAACTATCATCGATAGATCTTATAGCTTTTTTAGGATCCTCATATAACATTTAAACTATATGATCAGAAAGAGAGTCTAAATCATTTATCTCAGAAATAAAGGAAGTGATAAAATTTGGTCCAAATAGCCTTTTACTTCTTCTAGGCTCGAAATTAATTTCTTGAGAAGACCTAGCAGGAATACTAGAAGAAGTGGATAAAATATTTTCTATTTGAGTTTATGCATTTAATATACATTACACCCCACTTTTCTAACATTTTAGGATATCCATAAGTGTCTTGTAAAACGTGTAAACAAATACTCAATCATACTAGAGTAAAGTTTGTTATGAGTTTTAGCCATAAAACTATATTTTAACAAACTCAAGTTTTGTTTACACATAATTATATTCTCAAAGTTTTTAAGAAGTTACATCACTTAACATACTCTTAGTAGCAATAGTGTCTATCATATTTTCATTCATGATATTCAACATATTAGCCTTAAAGAGATCATCACATTTTTCCAAGAGGAAATACGACCACAAGCCGAGCCGAGACGGACGGCGACGGCGGTGCGCGAGAGTCTCCCTTGTTCTCTTTCACTCAACAAGGAAGTGGAAAATCCAAACCATAAATACTCATTCCCAATAGTATTTCTAATACTATGTGGGATTGAACATTACCAACAGATACATCATGAACAAAAGAAATTAAGGCTGCAACAGCTAGCTCACCTTTACTGTGTAAATGAAGAATTGGCTCCCATTGGCATTAGGACCTGCATTGGCCATGCTTACTAGTCCAGGTCCAACATGCTTCACTGTAGATAAAAAGCTCAAATTATCATAACTAGGGGAGAGCAGTTCATTATGGAATATAGAGTATCGTAACAACATAGAATGAAACTCCCAAAATTTGAGCTTAGCATGCTTATTCTACAACTTGCAGGCAAAGCTCTCATCTTCGAACTTGGATCCGTAAATACTCATTCCACCAGTTCCCTGCAGCCAGCAAATGCACCAGTTTTCTACTTAGTAATGGGAAATTCCTCTTAGAAAAAGGATACTAGTACATCTTTAGAAAGCCAATAGAGAAATGAAGACAGAATGTACATTTCCTTCAGTAAAATCACCACCCTGGATCATGAAATCTTTAATAATACGATGGAAGGAGCATCCTTTGTAACCATACCCTTTCTTCCCTGAAAAAGAGGAAACAAAAACCCTATATGCACAAAATACCAAGCTTTCAAAAAGTGGATATGGGATTCTTAGCTCATCTTGCCTGTGTAGAGGGCACGGAAGTTCTCAACAGTTCTTGGAACAACTTCCCCAAAAAGACCCATCACAATTCTACCAACAGTTTCACCTCCAATTTCGACATCAAAGAAGCACTTGGTTGTCACTTTTGCTTGCAACTCAACTTCCTAAATAAAATCCCAAAAATCTCTAAGATGATGGAAACTATTCCAAATGAAAACCAAAAGAACTGTAAAGAAATCGATAATAAAGTACTTGCATTGGCCATGGACTTGCAAACAATTCTCTCATACTTAACCGAAGAAAATAAAGAAAGTTGGGTAGTGTAGACACTAATTTTCACCCAACAACTCTATCCCCGAAATTCTTGGCACTAAATCAGCAAGGATGATTTTTTAGTTCGAATAGAACTCTAAACTGAAGCATTTGAGTCCAAATGAGACTCTAAATCTATCTAAAAATAGCCAATCACTTGGCTATTTAAACACATATAAATCAACAAGCAAAAGGGGGGGCACAAAGAGAAAAACACAAAAGGGGTCCCACGTGAATATCAGCTTCTTCTCTCTTTGATTGTAAAAGGCTCTTATCTTTTAATATCTAAAATGGTCGAGGTCAATGAAAGCGATGGAAGCAAGAGCGAAGATCAAAACACCGATTGAAAGATAATGACGAGGTTTTAGAGGAAGACGAAGAGGAAGAAAGTTGGAAGCAGGGGCACGACTAAGGGAATCAATACCGGCATCTTCTTATTCTCTTATGCCGCCATGAACCAGCAGTCATAGCTCACCCTCATCTGGGGACACGACCCGGCTCCATTCAAAACCCAAGTTTCCCACGTGATTTCGTCATTGAATGAGCAACGGTCTCACGCCGAGGCATTGTTAATCTATGCAAGTAATCCTACCCCGATGCCCTATGCCTCCGCCTCGCGTATATCCTCCAAGCCTGCAATCAACCCAAGGCTCGTGCCATGGCCGCTATTCTCCTCCCCGAGCTTGCTTCTAGTATTTTGCCGGAGAATGGATGGCCGGAGCTCTTGCCGTTTATGTTTCAGATCTATTTCCAGCAATGATGAGTTCTAGTGGACGGAGACTTACGAGAAGGACCGTCGACCGTGCCACTCCGAAGAAGACTCAAACAAACCGAGACTGTTGAGGAGCTGAGGCGATGTGGCGGTGAGCTTGCAGTCGCTTTTCTGGGAATATGCAGAATGTACAACCAAGGAGAGGGGACCACGTTTGTTTGACATATATCATATATGGAAAATGAATATAAAAGCCATTATTTGGCTTTTAGTTGCGTGAGTTTAAACAAAAACCCATGCTTTTGAACTTTGGGTAAATTCAACATATGGTCATTCATCTATTATGGGTTTTTACTTCTTTTGTTTATTACTTTCCATTTTTTTATTTTTTTTATTTTTCCTTTTGGTTTATTTAATATTTATTTAATATTTCTTATCTAACATTTTTTACTTGTTAGGGGAATTTTTTTAATCGATCAAGGTAATTATTCGAATCGATGTTTTAAATTTAAATTTTTAATTTTCGCTACTAAAGACAACCGGCAAATTAATTGGTACCGAAAGTGCGGTTCAAGGGTGCTAATCCTTCATTGTCCGTAATCGACTCCCGAATCCGACACATCTTTGGTAAAACGCAGATCAGGTAAGAAGCAAGGTATCCGATCTACCTATTTGTTTTAAAAATAAAAGATCGGTGGCGACTCCAATCCACATTTTTCAAGTCAAAACCTAATTTCGGGCCCCAACCGAAAGACGGTTACGACAGCTTAGTGACTCCGCTGGGGACAGGTAAGTGAGTCAGGCCGAATTAATTTTTTGTTGTCTTTTTAAGCGAAAATTATAAGTTTAAATTTTAATTTAATTCTTCGATTCTTATTATTTATCTTTTATTATTTTTTTTCGAGTAAATAGTTGTACTAACAGTTTTCTAATGATTTTAGACTCCCAAACTTGTTGTTCATCTAAAGGCTCTATACCCGAGCTCCAAACCCTATTTAAGTAGGGGTGAAAGCGACGCCTTCGTGTGAATTTATTCTCCGTATGGGCCTAGCAAATAACCTTCGGGATTCATATACCTTGTGCCTTCGTGTGAATTTATTCTCCGTATGGGCATAAGGGAATGTTTCCTCTCGAGTTTAACTTAGTCCACATAAGCTTGTAATGGGCTTAGGACTAAGGGTCTGGCAAGCCTAAGGGGGCGCCAGCAAGGAGAACTCGGGTACCATTTTTTTTAGAACCCGAACTGGGAGACCATGGAGAATTAGAGCCCACCCCAAAACCTCATTTTAAATCCTAGGATGCCGAAATTATTTTCTGCTTTACTTTCTGTTCAAAACATGTGAACTAGAAATTTATGCGGTTAGGACTTGTTCAAAATCAACTTGCGGGATAGAGATCATGTTCGGGTAGGAATAATAAGCATGTGGGGTAGATATCATGTGGGGTAGGACTTTTATTTTCATGATTGCTTTGATTATTATCTTTACCTTACTAACTCTTTTCATTTTTTTCCTCTATTTTATTTTATTTCCATCATCTGCATCATTCAAAAGAGGTGTTGATCCAGCAAAAAACGTCGTTAACAATAAATAATCTGTATTAATGGACAAAGGTGTTGTAATACAGGAGATTAAAAACCCTGAGGTACAACTATGGTCCGAGAAGACTCAGAAAGAAAAGGGAGACAATCTTCAAGAAAGTTATGTGTCAGAGCTTGTTAGCTATGCCTCTATCAGCCTAAAATAGAACAATGTGCAAGAACTTCGAGACATCTGGGACTGTTGGAAGAATGATCGAAAATAGAAGTTCAGTCAGCGGTATGGTGACATTGCACTTTTGCTTCATGTTAAGGCCGGTGAGCCCTTAATCAGAGCCTTGGTTCAATTCTGGAACCAGGGATACAGTTGCTTCACTTTTAACCAAGAGGACATGGTACCTACCATCGAGGAGTATACTACACTATTGCACTGTGAAAGCATTAAACTGGAGCGAGCCTACATCAAACATATCAAGAGTCAGCCTTTCAAGAACAGACTGGCTAAGATTGTAGGAGTTGATGAAAATTGGGTGACTGACCGACTCCGAAACAAAGGTAACGGGCAAGGAATTCAGTGTATCCACATAAGAAAACTAATAAATGACCACCCTGAAGAATGGAAGACTATAGACTTTTTTTGCACTAGGTCTGTATGGCTTTTCCGAAGATTTTGGGATGCATTGACGCAGTCGTGGTGGAACTATTTGAGTAACTTCCGAAACGAGTCAACCCAACACCAACCATCTTAGCCGAGACCTTTCGGTCTCTCAACCATTGCCGAAGAGCTGGCAGAGGTAGATTCATTGGATGTGTTCAGCTCCTTCAAGTCTGGATTCACAACCACTTCTGGAAGACTAATTAGGTTGCCTTCCACTGATTTAGCACTATGTATTCACCTTTGAGAGAGTTCATCACCATGAAATGGCATGAAGGAACTTCAAAAGAGAAGTGGATGAAAGTCTTCACTCATCTATCAAGACCGAGATATTACTTGGAGAGCCCCCTGGTTGTTCCTCAGTGTCGTTCTTTTCCAATGTGGGGACTCTGACACTATGACCTTACCTGAACTTTAGGATGCAGTTGGGTATGCTCCATTGTTAGCACTTAGACATTATTGGGCACGTTAGTTTGTCCCAGTAACATGCGGACTAGCTAAATCAGAGTTTGAGTATCACGGTGACAACTATAAGAAGATGATCAAGGAAGTAGTCGATTCATGGAAGAAAGTATTTCGGATAGATGTTGTAGCTGCCAGAAACATGCTTACTCCGGACTATATGGAGTGGCGAAGATTGAGAAAAAATGACAATATCCCAGTGCCAGACTGTGAGGACACCTGAACACTGGAAGAACATCTCAGGCCCGTCTTTTCTGAACTTGAGATAGCCAAGATAGAGTTTGAAGCTGTGAATAATGTGCTGAAGCAGAGGGTAAAGGAGCTTGAAGCTGAGCGCTATTAGTGGAAGCTAGATGTTGACTCTCAGAAAGATCGAGCAGATAAACTTGAAAAAGAACAGAAAAAAGTCTGTTTTGAGCTCGAAGACTTGAGAAATGGGTATCAAGATAAAGTCAAGGATAACTCTAAGTTAAAAGTGGTTTCTGAATACTGGAAAGACGAAGCTCATAGCCTGAAAAGAAAGTTCGAAGGGCCTGATGAGAGAGCTTGGAAGGAACAGATAAAGACTGCCCAGAGGCGCTTAGCAGACAGTCAGCATCAAAACCAATGCTTGAGAATCCAGATGGCTAATATGGAGAAACAACATGAGAGAGATGATAAAACAATAGCTGAGTTAGAAGCTATTGTATATGGGTTCAAGAAGAAAGTGAGCGAGCTTCAGATAGTGCTATTCGACGGAGGTTTATAGTGGCGTTTCCATTGGGAGCAAGCACAACAAAGGGTGAAGGCCAGAGATACAGTCATCCGAGACTTCCTGGATCAAGTACAGAAGGCATCTCGTCATCTACACGGCCTGGCAAGGGAAGCTGGAATGGTCCGACAAGGCATACAACCAGTGACAGATGAAGACATAAGACTTGTCAATCTATTAGAAGTTGTTTGGGGTCTAGAGGATTTAGTCTGAATGTACCTTTGATCGTTTTTATGTCTCTTACAAGATAAACCATTTTTGTATAAGTAAAGATTATTTATAATAATGGACACTTTTCTGGATCAATGCCTCGAACATTTCATGCATTCTTGCATTTTGCATTTTTGCCTTTTTGCATCTTCATCTACATTTTCAAGCATTTTCACAAACATGAAATTAAGTCATGAAGGACTCGATGAAGTGGATTTAACCACATGGAAGCAAGATTGTAACATTAAAGAGCCTGATCAGCTGATGGTAGGACAAAGCCGGCCAGGATGATCTAAGAAAAGAATCCCTATATCCTAAGGACTACGATGTTGAAGCTGTTAGGTATTACCACATAAGAAGCCCCAAATATTCCTCTGAGAACTATAAGGCGCTGAAGCGCAAGATCCAAAACCTGATGGATTCAGGGGCATAAACGGCCGAAGAAGGGGGCATGGCATATACCATTTGCACTTAAAGGATTGTTTTGTTTAAACACGTCTCTAATCTTTCATCGTTTGCTTAATCTTTTAAAGGATTGAATTTATGCTACTTTCTAAGGTGGAGCAATTGAACAAATTCTAATCTTTAGTTCTTCGAATATTAAATGAATTAAGGATTCTTTTAATTCTTCAAGAATTATATATTTTTGACATATGGCAAGGTTAGACTTTTCTTA